TTGAAAATTGGTTATACAAGTTTGGGTTCAGTGGGGGAGATCCTTAGATTGTGAGGAAGATATAGGAATTTAAAGAGTTACTTGTGCATAAATGGTTTAAAGATCTTAGATAAAATGTTTAAAGTTCTTGGAGCTAGATGCATCGTATGGCAAGATTATAGAGAAGACAGCAGAGAATATAAGAAATTGGAGAACTAAGCTCTGAGACACTAACATATTCCTGTTTCAGTAGAAGAAGATGACCCATTTAGAGAGACTGGAATGAAGCAGCCAGGGAGATAGGAGTAAAACCAAGAGAATGTGTTCCAAAAGAGAGGTGCCTAAAGACCGGAATGATAAAGAAGTTCTCATGCTTCCAAGAGGCCATGTAAGATGAGTCAGGAGGAAATGAATCAGTGCCACTGGTCAGCTTCAGTGAGAGGTTAAAAAGTATTAAACTGGCAGAGATCAACTTCATTGCATAGAGATCAATACATAGGTGCTCAATAAATGTTTGGATTACTGTCCCCCCCCCCAACTTTTTAATTGCTTTCTCTTTACCACATCTCAAGCTGCAGTGACCAACTGCCTGGGTTTGCTTATGACTTTAAGTTTTAAAACCAGAAATGTCCTGGGTTTGCCCAGAGTTGAAAGGTTTCCTGGGATGCCCTGTTTAGAGAGAGCAGTGTCCAGTCCTTGACAAGAGTGCTCTTGCCCAGAGCATCTGAACTGGTATGAACAGTGTTCCCTCCCATCAGAATAAAGGATTATTTTAGCCAGGGGACCAAACTTTTGACTAGTTTTATTTCATGCTTAAATTAACTTCCCAATAGACTGAGAATCTCTCCACCTCTGTTTTTGCTTCTTTTCAGTGATAATTTAAAACTTTATTAGGTAGTGCTAAATTAATTCTAGCAGTTATAGGATTTTAAGTTAAAGAGGATAAACTCAGAAACCTTGTCCTATGCCCTTCTTTACATAGTACATGTCTAGTGAACACAATTTGATTGCTTTGTTGATGCTACTTTGAAAATATTTTTTATATTAAAGTTTAGAGCTTTAAAATTAACTGCAGTTTTTAGTTATTCTTTAGGAAGAGCCAGATTGAAAGCTTTGGACTATGTTTCTCGTAGTTTATATTTTTCCACTATTTAGTTACATTGCTTTGGTAGAGGCAGAGATTGTGTGCTTAGTGACCATAGAAATTGTGTACTTCTTGTCTTGTTAGGACATTTCTGAAACTTTTTCAACAGTTTCTTATGGATTCTCTCTCTTTCTTTCTTTTTTTTTTAAAGAGAGAGTGAGAGAGGAGAGAGAGAGACAGAGAGAGAATTTTTTTTTTTTAATATTTAGTTTTTGGCAGACACAGCATCTTTGTATGTGGTGCTGAGGATTGAACCTGGGCCGCAGGCATGCCAGGCGAGTGCACTACCGCTTGAGCCACATCCCCAGCACCTCTTTCTTTCTTTTTTTGTCAGATGATCTAGAGTTTCACCTCTGGTTAGAACCTAACATTTCATGTCTGAGCTGATCTTTAGGTTTCTATGCAATTGGAGGAGCACAGCCTTTAGGAGCCCCTCCCCACTTCATGCTACCTGTTGTTTGACTGTTTTTCTTTTCTTCTTTTTTTTAAAAAGTTTTTTTTTATAGTTTTAGATAGATAAAATACCTTTTTTTTTTTATCTTTATGTGGTGCTGAGGATCAAACTCAGGCCCTCACATGTGCTAGGCAAGTGGTCTACCACTGAGCTACAACTCCAGCCCATTGACTGTTTTTCTTGATACATTATGATTATCCTTCATAAAAGTGGCAGGTGTTCAGCAGAATTTTTAGAGTGTTACGACAATGAGAATGTTAATGTACACTTTGGCAGTAATGCACTGAAAAGCTCAACTAAAAATTAAGTTATTTAATTTTGAGAACTGAAAAATTCCAGATATTTATAAATTTCCTTGAATTTATTATGAAATAGTTTAAGACTAATTATTTTTAAATTTTGCATTAAAATGTATTGTATGTGGTATGAATGTTACTAAGTATCAGGAAATAAATGGGTTATTCAGGGAAAATTATCCTATTCTGCTCTGGAGGTTAATGGCTACATAAATAAAAGCATTCATAGCATTCATTAGCTATCATTTGGGAAAATTCATTCTGATCTGTGTATTTATTTTCTTCTTGGTGATGATGATCCTTCTTAGTTTTGGCATAATTTGCTATCATGAAGAATTTTTTCTCTCTTTGGTGATAAGAAATAGCTACATTCTAAGACAAACCTTTCTGGAATACTACTTGGTATTACTCCCTTATATTTCTGGTGGTTTTATTAAAAACATAGTGTTTTCTGTTTACTGTATCTCATTTTAATAGTTTCTAAATAGAAACAAAAATTATGAAAAATTACATTTGTAGTTCTAATTATGCATAGCTAGCAAAAAACTTTTATGAATATGGTATTTTATATAACTAGTAGATAGGGTCTTTGGCCTATCAGCACACTGAAATGAGCAAATATATAACTTTTTCCTGAAAGGAGATGGTCTTATCTATGTTGGTTGTATTCTAACTTTCTTGAGTTCTTTGTTATATTTAAGAAGTACCTGGTGAATATGTATTGGTTTGAATTTTTAATGTTTTCTCTAAAGGTAGACTATTCATCTGATCATTCTTCTTAATTGAAGTAATTTTTTTTTAGAGAAAGAGAATTTTTTAATATTTATTTTTTAGTTTTTGGTGGACACAACATCTTTATTTTATTTGCATGTGGTGCTAAGGATTGAACCCATTGCCCTGCACGAGCGTGCTACCACTTGAGCCCATCCCCAGCCCAATTGAAGTAATTTTTAACTATAATCTAAACCAACCTACTTTAAGTCCCATGTTATAATAGAATTGAAACTAAGGAAATTCAGAATCATATTTGAATAATCTATTTTTATACTTTTTGTATTGCTTTATTTAATTTTTATTTTTAAATTGGTAAGTAATATTGTATAATTTATGAGGCACAATATGGTTTTTTAATTTATTATACAGAGTAGAATGATTAAATCAAGCTAGTTAACATATGTCTCACATCAGCTTATAGTTTGTGATGAGAATTTTTAAATCTTTTTTTTTTTTTTTAAGCAGTGTTTGAAATATGCTATACAGTTGTTAACTGTGGTCACCATGAAGTGCAATCGATTTTGGTGAAGTATACTTGTCCAGTGTAACTAAAACTTTGTACCTTTGATCAATGTCTCCTTTTTCTTTATCCCTTTCTCTACCCTTTTATATTTAGAAAGCCACAACCTCTGGTTACTGATTACTTAAATTTTATTTGAATTCTTAAATATAAGAAAACTAATTTGCTTAGATTGAGCTAGATTTTAACATTTATTTTTTTTAAAAATTATTTTATATACTTGTAGATGGACACCATGCCTTTATTTTATTTATTTATTTTTTTATGTGGTGCTGAGGATTGAACCCAGTGCTTCACATATGCTGGGCAA